TCACAGCTCTGCACTTACACAAGCCTTGTAGACGACCCTTTAGACATCCGAGAAGTGTGAGTGAGTGTGAGTATGAATGCGAGCGAATGAGTGACAAAATGCTGCCCCTGCCACACAAACACACACCCAGATGCACAGAATGCTGCGCCTGCCACGACTTCGGCAACGGCATCGCCAAAGTGCTGCGCCTGCCACGATTTCGCAACGGCATCGCCAAAGTGCTGCGCCTGCCACGATTTCGCACGCCCCCCACCGCGCGCGCGACAACATCCTGTCCCTCTAGACAGCTGCCGAATGCGACCCCTGCCACACAAACACACACCCAGATGCACAGAATGCTGCGCCTGCCACGACTTCGGCAACGGCATCGCCAAAGTGCTGCGCCTGCCACGATTTCGCACGCCCCCCGCCGCGCGCGCGACAACATCCTGTCCCTCTAGACAGCTGCCGAATGCGACCCCTGCCACACAAACACACACCCAGATGCACAGAATGCTGCGCCTGCCACGACTTCGGCAACGGCATCGCCAAAGTGCTGCGCCTGCCACGATTTCGCACGCCCCCCGCCGCGCGCGCGCCAACATCCTGTCCCTTAGACAGCCGCAAATTTCTGCCCCTGCCACACAAACACACACCCAGATGCACAGAATGCTGCGGCTGCCACGACTTCGGCAATGGCATCTCCAAAGTGCTGCGCCTGCCACGATTTCGCACGCCCCCCGCCGCGCGCGCGACAACATCCTGTCCCTTTAGACAGCTGCCGAATGCTGCGCCTGCCACGATTTCGCACGCCCCCCTGCCGCGCGCGCGACAACATCCTGTCCTTTTAGACAGCTGCCAAATTCTGCCCCTGCCACACAAACACAACCCCCAGAAGCCCAGAATGCTGCGCCTGCCACGATTTCGCAACGGCATCGCCAAAGTGCTGCGCCTGCCACGATTTCGCACGCCCCCCGCCGCGCGCACGACAACATCCTGTCCCGTTAGACAGCTGCCGAATGCTGCGCCTGCCACGATTTCGCACGCCCCCCACCGCGCGCGCGACAACATCCTGTCCTTTTAGACAGCTGCCAAATGCTGCCCCTGCCACACAAACACACACCCAGATGCACAGAATGCTGCGCCTGCCACGAATTCGGCAATGGCATCGCCAAAGTGCTGCGCCTGCCACGATTTCGCACGCCCCCCGCCGCGCGCGCGACAACATCCTGTCCCGTTAGACAGCTGCCGAATGCTGCGCCTGCCACGATTTCGCACGCCCCCCGCCGCGCGCGCGACAACATCCTGTCCTTTTAGACAGCCACACAAACACACCCAGATGCACAGAATGCTGCGCCTGCCACGACTTTGGCAATGGCATCGCCAAAGTGCTGCGCCTGCCACGATTTCGCACGCCCCCCGCCGCGCGCGCGACAACATCCTGTCCCGTTAGACAGCTGCCGAACGCTGCGCCTGCCACGATTTCGCACGCCCCCCGCCGCGCGCGCGACAACATCCTGTCCTTTTAGACAGCTGCCAAATGCTGCCCCTGCCACACAAACACACCCCCAGATGCACAGAATGCTGCGCCTGCCACGACTTCGGCAATGGCATCGCCAAAGTGCTGCGCCCGCCACGATTTCGCACGCCCCCCGCCGCGCGCGCGACAACATCCTGTCCCTCTAGACAGCTGCCGTGAGTCAGCGAGTGTGAGTGAGTGAGTGAGCGAGTGAGTGAGTGAGTGAGTGAATGAGAGTGAGTGAATGAGAGTGAGTGTGAGTGAGTGAGTGTGAGTGAGCGTGAGTGAGTGAGTGAGTGAGTGAGTGAGTGAGTGAGTGAGTGAGTGTGAGTGAGTGAGTGAGTGAGTGAGTGAGTGAGTGTGAGTGAGTGAGTGTGAGTGAGTGTGAGTGAGTGTGAGTGACTGAGTGTGAGTGAGTGAGTGTGAGTGAGTGAGTGAGTGAGTGAGTGAGTGAGTGAGTGAGTGAGTGAGTGAGTGAGTGAGTGAGTGAGTGAGTGAGTGAGTGAGTGAGTGAGTGAGTGAGTGAGTGAGTGAGTGAGTGAGTGAGTGAGTGAGACGGAGACGAGCGGGAGAAGGAGGAGACGCGGCGCGCGGACGACGAGCGGAAAAAGTAAGAACCCCACACAAAGATGTGGGGAAAGAGAAGCACACCCAACAGGGCCAAGTTGCGACATCTACGGCCCGACGTCCCAACGTTCCGCCGGTCCCTGGCATTTCCACCGCTCGCTGCATGCGAAGCCTGGACGGAGACTTAAGGTGTCTTGGGGAGGGCATGGGGTGGGGTTGGTGCCTTGGGGTGGGGGTTGGATCGGGGTATGGAGTTGTTTGTGAATGGGGTGGATTGGGGTGGATGGGGGGTGGGGTTGGGGTTTTCCTCTTGGTTTCCCTTTAAAACCATCCAAGGAAAAGGAACCACACGCAAATGGGATTTGGAAAAGCTCCCGGCAACAGGGGTGGTTTTTGCAGGGGAGGCACAAAGTCAAGCAATTTGGGGGACGCCTACTTGGAGAAACACCCATATCCTATTCCTCCCCAGCGTCCGTTAGAACTCGAACTCTTATTTTGAATGAACAATCAAACAAACATCACACAGAAACATTCTTTTGTTGGCATCGGTTTGCGGCAACCGGAGGAATGCAAGGATTACTCTACCTCCCTCAAGTAACCCAAAGGCTCGGTTCAAGATTGTGTTCCAGGACCCTGCCTGCCAGGTTGGAGGGTACATTCCCTTGCATCTCCCCATGCTCCAGCTTGGCCAAAATCAGCACGCTGAGCATCCCCATACCCCAGGTTTCACCCCAGTCTTCGGGCCCGGCTTCAGCAGCGCGCGCTTGCCCGCGATGATCACCTACGGAAGGGCCCGAACATGAACCAAGCATCTGAAGGATCAACCACGTAGCCCTGGTAGAAAATGGTCTTGAAGGGCATGAGGCTTTTGTTTGCGCTCCCTCCCAATATGACAACTCCATCGGGTGACAACTTTCCGGAGACGAAGCTCAACGGGCGTCGCAGGCCTCCAAACCGAAGGCTGGAACCCCAGCTCAGGCCAACGTGTCAGCCCCGCCAAAAGGGGAAGCTTTGCTTGGGGTTCCCCAAGACTTGGGCTCAAGGCACCAAGAAACGGCACGTAAGAACCCAATTCTTGCACGAATCGCAAGCGCCGTCGCGTTTGTTTCTGGCTCAACTGACCCCCTGGCCACTTCTCATGGCTCTGATTCTTTTGCTGAGCGAGGGGTGTTTGGCGTTCGGCTGTTTGCACCTGGAGCTTCCGAGGCAAGGACATCTTCGATCTCTTGATCAAAGGCTTGTTCCTCGAGGCTCATCTGCCTCCACAGCTTGTGAGAGGGCCGACTTGCTCACTTGGCTCGCCAAAGCACCCCCCATAAAATTTTATGTTTTTGATGCATTGGCTCTTGACTAAAGCTGTGGCACCAGGCAACCTCTTGAAACCCGCTGTTCAATGAACACCAAGCCCAGGAGTTAGAGAAATCCCGAGCTGAACCCTCGGCAAGTGAAGCCGGTGGCAAGTTGGCAGGAATACAATGCGGACATTGCCATCTTATTGGAAGGTCCAACTGAGATCCGATCCTTTTGAAAGGTCATCTTCGTGCTGTTGCATTTTTGTTGCAAGGGGGGCCCCTGAAAAGGGGTTCACTGATTCCCGAAACAACCAGGCAGTCTTGCTCTAACATATGTATATACACAGATAACATTGTGCAAGGAAAACTAAGTGACATGTTCAAGTCCCGTCTTTTCCATCTACCACTCGTTTAAATGGCTGTTTGGCCTCGCTTTTGTGAATTGGCCGAAACCGTGGCCAGGTCCCTGTGCCCCGAGATTACGTTGATGGGTCGAGCAACTCCCAAAGGGTCGAACACTTCCGGCAGGCTGATTGCTCTGAACTGGATGGGGTACGCTCGCGCCTTCGCAGCTTCTGCAGGGCATCAGTGGTCTCTTCAACCTGCAAGGAAACTTGGGCTTGGTAGTAGTCAATGGAACCTCCTTTGGATGCATTTGAAAGGGAAATGAAAAGGGGATCATCACGGGCCCTCAGAGCCTGTGATGATCTCCTTCCACGCGCCATATTCATCTCAAATATCCCCATCAAGGATCCTTCTTGCCAAGGCCAAAAAACCAAGAGAGTGGTCTTTGAAAGGAACGAGCGTTAAACAAACATTGAATCAATGCCCGGATTCATGGGACAACCGTCACGAAGGCCCAGTGCTCTTCGACTTCCGCAACTGAAACCTGCTTTTGTTGGACCTTCTTGTGGCAGTCGAGCTCGTATTTTCCTTTCTTGGCCTACAACCCTCCGCACGAGTGCTTTAAGTGCCCAGGCTGGGGATTTGAGTGGACTAAACAAATATTAGCCATGATCATAGTTGAATAGTGTTCGAAATTATGTTGCCCCTTCTCTCTGACATTTGTTGAGACCTTGGACAAATCGTTCGCAGGTCTTGTTTCAGAGAGCGAGATGAATTCTGAGACATGGGGATGTCGGTTCGCAGTAAGGCAGCTTTCCTTTTCTTACTTTAACGCGTGTTGGGAAACAGATGGGCTCCCTACCCTGATTTTCCTTGTACCCGCATTCCAGGAAGAGGTAGAATAGTTCTTCCCCGCATTCCCTGAAATCCTTTCCAGAAACCGCCAGAACAAAAAGCGGCTTGAAAAAAGGTCCATGGAAAGAACGTGGAATCCACCTCGGCCAACGCGACGAAACGCCTGAAGCTTCTCTACGAGGCTGGCCGTCTCGGCATTGTTCCACCACGGTTCGCTGCTGGCAAGAGACACGGGCGCGACATGGTCGGTTTGCTTCCCTTTGCAAAGAATACCCTTGGGAGTCGCAAGGGAACCAGGGAAAATAACGCCCGAACAGATCCTGGCTGCATGTTTCAGACACGCTCACAAGACTCACGTTCTTTGCGAGTGAATGAGAAACCTTAGTGTTTGCTCTTGGCACATCACCTCAGCCTCGTGTAGCGGTGCAAGCACGCATCTCCTTTGTTCAGCGGAGGTCATTTAGCTCGAATTCCAAGAGGACTGCTCCTGTGGCAAATCCTCGGAACCTCCTCCCCAAACTTCAAGCCGTCCGTGTTGGACGCCTTTCGGTTCAAGGAGTGGTTTGCAAAAAGATCACCTCACAGTGACATCGACTGCACTGCGTAGGCTTGGGGGAAACCTTGAGTCTGCAGCAAGGTCGGGAGCGCTGGTGTTGCGCCCCGCCAAACAGGTGTATAGGCCTCATGGCGCGCAAAGTGATATGGCTGGTTGGAAGCGCACGCGTACGCCGGCATGTGCGGCACGTATGACGTGCTCACCCGGGGTGCGTAGACAGGGATCATCATGGGAACATTCAGCACTTTGGCCCGGTCTCCCGGGCTGGGTTTGCCAATCTCCTCTGTCGCATCTGGCTCCGATCCGTCCTGATCACAATTCACACGCAAACTGCCAAGGCCTGACGGCACTCTGCAACCTCCGCAACAAGCCTCCCATCCCGGCACATGCCTCGCTCCTTCTGCAAAACCCACAACATCCCGGATCCCATACATCGCTCCTCCTCCGTGCCGAAGAGGGCTTGCACGGCTCCCACGGCGCCGGCAGCTCCCCGATAGAAGAGGAGGCCACGCTGGCACCAGCTCGGCACTTCCTCCGCGCCAAGCTCCCGTAGGAACTCCGAGGCGAAGTCCACGCAGTTGTTGCCGGTGCGGCTGTAGGCCCGGCTGCCGAACCTGGCCATGCACGTCAGCTTCGACAACTCATAAGGCTCGCTGCACTCACAGCCTGGTCTTGCCAAGCTTGAAGGCGATGGCCAGCACTTTCTGGGGAGTGCATCTGGTGCTGCCCAGAACCTCTTCGCACTTCCTGGGCGACGCAAATCAACGTGCCAAAAGAGCGGCCACCAGCATTGCTCCCTGTGCATGCGCCCCTTGCAGCCACGCGTCCATTGGTTTCCCCAGCCAGGGTCGCGGGGCTGGTGGCAGAAGACGCCACTGTCAGGGCCTGGCGCAGACAAAATCGAAGCTCGCAGATTTGCTGATGGGTAAGCCAAGAACACTGAACATGTCAACAAATGCCCCTGGCCTCCGATACTGCGGCCCTTCTTCTTGTTGAAGATCCCATAACCTATGCTGAGGTCAGGGGCAAGGTGGGGAACCAAGGGATCATGGCGTTCAATCACCATCATCCCACTGGTCTTGCAAGTACCTGCCCATCCGGAACAAAAAGGTGCTGCCTGCGAAAAGTGGTCGCAGGCAACAGCAATACACTCAGCAAAAACAATATGCCCACAAAGCCGAATTCTAAGCGCTCCCTGATTGTATTTGAAGTCCAGAGCCAAAGAATCGGCAACTGCCAGCTAATGCAATCAAGCTCTGTCCTTTCTACTGATGCTTTGTTTCTCTTGTTTCCACTCGTTCGATTGCCATGCAGGAATTGGGCAGGGACCTCTGGCTCGCCTCTGTTTGCTCATTGTCTTTTCCCTAGCTGGAGAATTCCAGCAGGTTTTTGTTTGCAACTTCTTCAAGCACTTTGGACATGGCACAGGGACACCACTGTTTCCTGTCTTCCGGGAATGTCATTCTGGTGATGCTGGTCATGCTGAGGTGAAGGTGCTGAGGATGCGGAAACTGAGCATGGACAGCTGGCACACAGGCAATCGATCACCCCAACCTCTAAGTGCCCTCTACACCAAACTCCCCCCAAATACAACGTAGCCAGGTCAAAGCGCGTTTCAACAAGTATGTTCCAAGGTGCACATTGTTGGTTTTCTCTCTTCGCTTCCCCAAATTGCCTGCCGAGCAGCAGTATTCTTTCCCATGAACCTCAACTCCCACGTGGTACACGCCGACCACGTCTTTGGTCCAGTGTGACAGCCACCGTGGCATCGTGCTTGGCAGCTGCTGCAGCCTCAGGACTGAAGTTCAACGTGACTCTGCTGGGGGGGTCCTTTGAAGGCTCCCTTTTCACGCTCGAAGGCAAATCACAAGTTGGGGAGTCCCCCTATATTGACACATGGACTCTTTAAAGGGGAATCCAAGAGGAGGTTGCTTTTTCGGCATGCCCAGCCTGCCCTTCTCGTCGTAGGACACAGGGTGCTGGTAATAGACCTCGCCACAGGGCCCGTGAGCTCTAAGCGAGTCACAATAAAGACTTGGTACTAAAGGGGCCTACCCGAAACCATGCAACAAATCAATCGCGCGGCGCTAACCTGCATCTATTTTCAGGTCTTGACTGTTCAAGTGACGACTTGGCCAAATGGAAAGCGGCAATCAACTCTGCCACACCGACCACGCTGCCAATCAAGCCGAGAAGCATTCAACTTCACAGCTGTCGCCATGGCAGCTAGCGCTGCCCAAGGCGCCAAAAGCAGACAATTTGTTTAGCAATCTGATTGAAGAAAAGGCTTTGCTGACAGGGGGAATGGGGTCGGGCCCAAAAAATGTTTGGCACTGAGGGATTGCGCATCTGCTTGGCTTGGGTCAATCTCGCGGACTCAAACTGTGCGAGCCTGTGCTGCTTCAGTCATGCCCTTGCCCGATTACATGGAGCACACTGTATGTCTCAACAGTAGGGACCCTTAGTGGTCATATCAGTTCCCCTGGAAACTTCTGTAAAGGGTCCAGCTCGTATGGCTGGCCCCCCCTTCCCTCGTGCAGAAACCCGCTCCCCGTTGCGCCTTTCAGCGTCCTGCTGTTCCTGCGGCCGGCAAATGCACCATACACTGCCAATTTGGTTAGTGTCTGGAAAAACAATCAAGTAATCAAGCGGCCCCCTTAAATGCTGGTTTCATGTTTGTTTTCTTCAAGCCACTAGAAGGACACACCTCTGTGTGCCCCCGACTTTTCGGCACTTCCGGTGATTCACGCTGAAAGTGTGCCTGCCATGGGAACTGGGAGAGATCATGCGTCAATTGCGGACGAAGCCCTTGGCCATGGAACAGCTGCGAGTTGCCTGCTCGGTGCCACAGTCGCAAGATAACAAAGTCCGTTTAGATTGAAAAGCTTTGACCTCCGCCCCCCCCCCCCCCCTCTCAAAAAAAAGGGAAAAAGAAAAGAGCGCACGGACGCACAGGCATGAAAAGGTGCACGGTGGCAGAACACGTGCTGGACCTGGTAGAAGTCACAGAGCTATGCAGTCAGTGCGAACCGAAACAGTTTCACAACGTGGTTGATACGCCGTTGACTCCTCCTTGAGGTTGGAAACAAAGGACTGCAATAACACCAAGCTAAGACTTTCATCAAAGCAACATGGACAGATTAACGCACGACCCCTTGGGCGTCAGGCGATCAAACATCTGTCTTGTCCCCTCATTCTAGCAATTGTCCTTCATTTAGGAAGCGCCTTTTCAGAAGAGGGGCTGAGGTTCGGAGGCGTTTCAGCATGAATTCTGTGCAAAGCTCCTCGTCGTTTTCTCCTTTAGGATCCACAAAATGAGGTTCCTCAAAATTGGTGGGTTCTCTTTGAGTTCCGTTTCAACCGACCCCAAAGACACCACCTGCTCAAAAACTTTGGGTTGGGGAGGGGGGGGGGCAACAGACCCGTGAAACAACTCCCCCCCGACTCATGACTCCGCTCCGGAGCAGCTTCGCGCGCATGCCTGGAAGGAGAGAAAAGTCCCCAGCCCGGTAGCTACCTTCGTAGGACTTCTTAGGGTCAGTGGTGGGTTTTTCTTGCCTGAAATCAGATGGCTACGAGTGGTTCCAACAAAAGATTGCAAGTGAACCAACGAAAGACCATGATGCAATACCGGCACAAATCGTTTTGGTGCGGCAAAAAAGGGCAATCATGATCGCCTGTTGGGGATACATTGCCTCAAGGGCAGTTCGATAGTAAGTAGGGACAAGTTGATTCAGGCCTGTTGACAAGGCATTTGGCTACCTTACCAGAGTCGTAGCTTTTGCTTGCGCTGTCATTTACGACCTACCAAAAGTCTCCCGCTTTGCATCGCAAAGAGCATCTGAATGCTTGCCCAAGCATTGAGTTTCGCTCGCACGCTTGGTTCCGCTCTAGCACGTGGCACAGGGCAGAAATACTGCCAGCCACCATGCTTGAGGTGGCTAGCATGATGAGGCATGATGGGGCGGATCAAAGAAATAACACGTGGTGACTGTGCTGGCAACGCGATAAATCGGCGAGCATGCTGCCTGCAACATGTAGGCAAGGTCTTTGCGAAGGATCCGCGAATGGAGGGCTACATTTGGAGATACCTGCCCGCCAAGCTCAGGGCCTGGAAAGCAGCGAACAGCGACGCTTTTGACATGCCCGGAAGCAAGGCAACGCAGTTGCGTGCCAGCCGCTGTTGAAACCGCACTAGAAACGACATGAAGAAGCTTCTTTTCCTGTCGCGTTTGTGCTTTGACGTGTTTGAATCCATTAGGCTTTGCAAACAAAACTGTCACACCTGCTGGAATTTCGACATGCACTAATTGCAGCCACGCTGAAACAGTAGGAGGTCATTAACAACGCCGGCCGGAACCTAGCTTTTCCGGCCCTTTGCCTGCCCTTGCTTGCTTCCTATTTTGGGAGCACACATGATATTCTGTTGTGCGACATTCACGTGAAGCCCTATTCAATTCGACCAAAGCGTCAACACAAGTTCTAAGTGTGTCGACTGTGTTGGAACAGCTAGCTTCAGGCAAACCTCAACTAACATTGGAAAGCCAAAGGGTGAGTCGCAGTAGGCACGGAATCGCTGAGTTGCTCCTCTGACACCAGTCACAGGAAGGACGCGCTTCTCCACCGAATGCGCGGCTGTAACACTGAGCCCTCCCACTCCGAACTTAAAAAACCCTCACCTCAACACAACATCGACCCGAGGAACGAAAGAACAAACACGGGTCCGAAACCAATAAGCCATCCGCACCGCGCAAAACAGCCATGCGGTAAAAGGCCTCGAGAGCCTTTGAAGCCGCGCTGGCCCGCGCCTCGGGATGGCCGCCGGCCGCAAGAAAAGTTTTTCACGTGCCGGACAACCTTGAAAATAGGTCAACGCCGATGGTACCC